AAACGTCCCTTGACCGCGTGCCCCCCCCCCCCAAAAAGTGCTTTAACCTCTACAAAAAGTGACGGCAGTTGGAATGGAGCTGAAACAAAAGCAAAACAAACAACTCCAAACCCTCCCAGTCGTGGATTAAAAGTGTTCAGTGACCTGAGAACCCTTCAAAAAAATGCTCCAAACTCAAAGAGCTCTATTGTGCGCGAAAATGTCCTCGTATAACCGACACCTGTGCGTTCTTGCAGATGCACATCAAACCTGACAGACCCATGTGACTGACCACACCAGGTGCCATTCGCCCTGCTCATTTTAATACTGTAATTTGCTCCAGCTCCACCGGTGTCAAGTTCCCACGCATGTATATGTTGACCTCAAGCTTAAACAGCACAACAGACACATTCTGTCGCCCGCCAAGGAGAAATTTGACAGTCGTGTGTATGTCACACCGAACCATCGTGCCAGATTCTGGACAAATAACCATTGCACTTTACTTGTACTGCGAGCCGCTCGAAACTGAAGCCCTTCACAAAGACGAGACTGCATGCGAATGGTCAACATAAAAGGCAAACAGGAATACAAAGCGGTGGCCACACACCGGAAACCGGAGGTCACATCAGACTCGGCAAGTAGAGCGGAGATAAAATAGTTCCCTAAAATGAAATTCCCCTCTATTTATCTTCACAAAAACAATGTCCTTTCATTATAAACAATTATATTTCTGCACTCATTTCACAGTTTCTTTTTGATTTTGTTTTTGACATCATCATCATCATCATCAGACAAATTGGAATCGAAACAGATTCTTCATTTCTGTCCATTTTATCAGTGAAGCCTGTGACTTGATGAAAATGAGACTATTAAACCTCACGTGCCTGACCTCCATTTTTCTACTATTAAACTATCAGGTTTAACACTTTGACCCAAGCAAATGGGAAACACACGATCAGGTGTCACAGTCGTTCAAGCTCACATTGCCTTGGCCTTGGGAGTTAGCCCTGAAGGGATATGCTGCATGTCCCTTCAGATATTTCACCTTCATGACTTGGTTGAAGGTTTACACGCTTCGCCCACAAGTTCAAATTAAGCTTAGGCAGAGTCCAGAGACCAGACATCAATTTGATTGACAGGTGATCCAGATGGACAGGGGCTTTTGCGTCCAATTCCCCATACCCACCAAGAAGCTATTCGACTTAAAAGAGGGAAAGTACATTAAGAGCGAGGAAGCTAGCGCCCCACCAGATGTAGCTGTCGGCTCTCTTTTTCTTTCTTTCCAAAAAAGTATTTTATATTCAATACCTTACCATTGCCGATTCCGATATTTGGCGGAATGAAATTCTGTAAAACAAGTAAACGCCTAATTTAGTTATAGATCGTATTCTCACAAAACCTTTTTTTTTTTTGGCCGCTTTATGCTTACATCAATTATGATACTGTTTAAATTACAGGAGGAACATTTTTGACCGCAGTATTACATTATGTGTTAAAAAAAAAAAAAAAACAGATTGGCCAACAAATGTACAAATTTTTGCTGATTTTAAAACAGCTAATATTGGCTGATTCACTCGTCAGGCGGGCAATCCTCGAGATGTCATTTCCATTGTGACTTCCTGCTGCACTCTTTTCTTCAGCCTATATATTGAGATTCAGTGGGTAATTTTGGAGCAAAACATAAAACTCCCCAAATATATATTTATTAAGGATATCAAATACATACTCGTAATACCCTCTTTTGGATTTTATATTTCGTGTACTGATGTGGGCCACCCTCCTTGCCCTACTTGCTCTATCATCATAAATGAAAATGATAAGAACATTGAACTTTGGCCTTTCATCTACTTTTTTTCATAATTGACCTTTATTACAGTTATGATTGAATGCCAAGGAACATGAGGGTCATACTGGAAATAAAAAGCATCATAAAACAACGAACAAAGCATGATCCTAAAATCATAACATTATACGAGTATATAAAAAGACACTATGTTTTGAAATTAGACTTCAGAGAAAAATTTGTGATATTCGAATGGCTGAAACAGTTTATGGAATAATATTGATACCATTTTAAGTGCTTTTAACATTTTAATTGTAATTACTACCGTATTTTACGCCTCTGAGAGTAGCACAGTGGCTATTATTGGGCCATCCGGTGCGCTGCGCAACAACAAAGAAATGCAGAAAGAAGAAGACCACGAATAAAATAAGACATGCCTCAGAAGAAAAAGAAAACATCAAACTTTATAAGCCTACAATGTTGGAAACATGGCAGAAGGCAAAACGGATGCTGACTAATTTCTCACAAACAAAGATATACAAATCAAGTGCGGGCATCTTTCAGTTACACCAAGTCTGCAGATGGAAGTGGTGTGAAACGTTCTATACCTTGGCCTGCTCTCAGGGAATGTAGACACCAGGAAGGGAGAGTCTTAAATGACAAGCCCTTCATCCCCGTGATCACTGCCCAAAATTCCACACCACGGAATGTTAACTGTGAAGTGGTTAGTTAAATGTATCACTGCAATCTTAATAATTTTAAATCCATTGTCAAAGAGTGAAAGAGTATTTTGTGCTTAGGGTTGCTGATTATTATATATCAGTGATTTATTTGCTTGTACTCATTTGAGGTACTGTACATTGGGACCGTACTTCAAATTGGTCACTGTATGCATGATTAAAACCTAATTGTATGGAAACCGAGGGAATACTTCCAATAGCAAATCATGTCAATCTGATTAATCCGTTCCAAACACGCAAAAACATGAATAAAAACGACAACTGCAATATTTGTCTTTTTTTTGCAGAGGATAAAGAATATATGCTACCATGGCTCACCTGTTTTCTCAGTTTGGTCATGCAAGCTGAGCTGTGATTAATCGCTACCTGAGTACTGAGCCACTGTGAAGTCATTTTCAGTTGACAGCTCCTGAGATATAAAAGGGTGGATTTTGCTGTCTAAATCATTTCCCACAAACGCAACATTAATCAAAATGCCATGTTTCAACTGGGGTGGGGGGCACATAGAACATATATTCAAGAAAATTTGGGGGTTGACTTCATTGCTTAAAACATTGCACATAGATGTAGCTGACTTTAGGTGAGAGCTGGCTAAACTGTGGACTGGTCATGCATATATAGGCACATATAGACAAACAAGCGCACGCACACACACACACACACACACACACACACACACACACACACACACACACACACACACACACACACACACTCGAGAAGAGTGCATGATTGCACCGAAGGACAAGTTAGGGCAGGGGCAGGGAACTCCGGTTCCTCAAGAGCAAAATCCTGCCTCTTTCAGATCTCTCCCGACTCCAACACACCTGATTCAATTGATCATGATGGTTTCAGAATTCTACAGACCTTGCTGATGGGCTGATCGTTTGAATCAGGTATGTTGAAGTAGCGAGAGACCTAAAACAGGTAGGATATGGCTCTCGAGGGACCTGAGTTCTCTACCCCTGAGTTAGAGTCTTGAATGAATCACACATGCATATTTGTGGGATGTGGGAGGAAGCATGCAAAGTCCGTACAGGAAGGCCCATAACCAGATTCGAACCCCTGACCTCAGAACTGTGCTAAACAGTCAGCCACCGTGCCTCTGTTTATGTTGCCTTTTAAATTCTTGTTGTTGTTTTTTTTTTTTTTTAAATTTTCAATGGGCAATGTCATGAATGGTTTCATTGTCTTCTCAACTCAGTGCTAATGGCCTCAATTAGGCACGGTTGGTTTTGCACTTTAAAATAGTACCGCTGGAAACTCTGAAAACCACTCCGGATTGAACACATCAATCAGAACAAGACATGCTAACAAACGACGAGGGAGGAGAACGAGAGTCTCCCGCATTTACTTCTCAGCATGTGGCTGTTGGCCAGGAGACGGGGGACAGCAAGAAAAGGTTACAGCTAAGTGACTGCCATTAAAACTGCAGGCATTCATTACAAACAGTCAGCCACCGTGCCTCTGTTTATGTTGCCTTTTAAATTCTTGTTGTTGTTTTTTTTTTTTTTTTAACTTTCATTTACTGCATTTTTATGATATAATGTTGCTATTGGAAAATACATTGCTATTTTCAGATTCGAACCCCTGACCTCAGAACTGTGCTAAGCAGTCGGCCACCGTGCCTCTGTTTATGTTACCTTTTAAAATAATGTTGTTTTTTTTTAACTTTCATTTACTGCATTTTTATTATATAATGTTGCTATTGGAAAATACATTGCTATTTTTCAAAAAAAAGCATGTGCAGTTCTCCACCGCACATGCCCAACTCAGTGCTAATGGCCTCAATTAGGCACGGTTGGTTTTGCACTTTAAAACGCTGGAAACTCTGAAAACCACTCCGGATTGAACACATCAATCAGAACAAGACATGCTAACAAACGACGAGGGAGGAGAACGAGAGTCTCCCGCATTTACTTCTCAGCATGTGGCTGTTGGCCAGGAGACGGGGGACAGCAAGAAAAGGTTACAGCTAAGTGACTGCCATTAAAACTGCAGGCATTCATTACAACCCTGTTTTGAACATCAAGAAGAAAATCCCTCATTGGCTTGATGCACACCACCAGAACGCTGCCTCTGCAGGGTGCAGTGGGACGGAGTGGAACGTTCAGTCCACTGAGGGGAAACAGGTTCACATTAGAAGGATGATCAGTTGCTTCTATCTTTCTCTCTAAGGATTCATTACCCGTGCTGGTTATGCAACCGCTTGTTGTTTGTGTACCTTTGTGTTTCAAGTGGGATGATGCAAAAGCTTCAAAGCCAAATGTCACCAAAATTGGCGGGGTAGTATAACATATCCCTGTTGTCATCGTAGGTAATAGGTGAGGCGCACACCCTAACCTGGTAAACCAGCCAATCTTTACTCATTTAAATATATCTTTCAATATTAAATTTTGGTTGAGAGGCACTGGTCTGGTGCAATGTTTCCCAGCCTCGATTGAACTGAGGTACATATGTTACATTAGCAATGAATAAATACTATGGCGCACCCCGAACACAAATACCACAAAAAGTACATACACTGGAATAATGATGACCTTGTCTCAGTTTACTCCGAAATGTACTTACTTACTTTTTTTTTAAGCCGATATATTTTATATATCGTTTTATATCGGATTATAATATTCAGTCAAATAAAATTGCAAAAAACGATAAATCCGGTGGTGCAGTAATCGAGGTGCTGAAGGCATCGGATGAACTAATACATGTTTAATTTGTACAGTAAGACAGGGTTTATTAACAAAAAAAAAAATGCTGCAATATCTAAAGATTTGTAACTATTACATATGAACATTTCTAGTTTGGGGAGGTTTTAGCAAGAATCGTGCAAGTTGCATGAGATTTGCTTTCACGGGTCACAAAAATAACGTGGCAGGACAGACCTGGCTTCTGGGACTGAGTTGACACCTGGGAGCTAGTGGTTAGCACATCTGCAATAATATTTATTGCTGGACAAAGTTGAAGTGGTGGATGGATTTAGTGGGCCTCGTGGCCTTATAAAAAGAGTTGATTCACTTTTCCATTGTTTGAAATTCACAAGGGAAGTGGCTTATCACACAATAGTGGGCAAAAAGGAAGCGAGTGGTCTTGGCCGCGCTTTAGTAGATAGATATTTTTTCTATTCTTAACAAGCCGACAACGTGCAAGTCTGTCAACACTCCTTTGACTTTTCCATCTGTGGCATGCTGCCCAAGTTCATTCCTTCCAACTGAACACATCAAAGTTTTAATGGGCTATTAATACCTGACAAGATTATGGAAATAACTAAACTAGCTGAGCCTTGTTTTTAGAAGACGTTCACCCTCATAAATAGTGAGCTTGTTGGAAGCTGGTTTCAGCTTGTGACATGTGATTCTGGCAGGTTATTTACAGCGCCGGGATGGTGTATGATGGATAGCGTCCAAACAGCACATTGTCCGTGCGCGTGCTGCCAAAGAAACATGCCACTCGGCTATCACTCGAGGCTTTCTAACTGCAATGCATGCAGTCAAGCAGGAAGGAATGAGGATATCTCAGGGAAGTCCGTATAGTGGTACCTCTACTTACGAACGTCTCTTCATACGAAATTGTCAAGTTACGAAACGCCTCAACAGGAAAATATTGCCTCTTGTTACGAAAGAAAGGTCAAGATGCAAAAGGTAAAAATAGAAGTCTGTCCTGCTACTCGCAGCTCCGAGTTTCATGAATGCAACATAGTTATAACTGCTCTGCCATTGGCTATTACCGTATGTGTCTATGTCTGTAAATAGACGTTAAGTGTCGATGCAATGCTCTCGTCATTAGCATTAGCCCAGGAGGTGTCCCGAAGTTTTTTCGTAAATGCGAATCACCCAGAAAAAGTGTTCACCGGTCGGACGATCGCTCACTATGCTGATGTTTGCCTTGGGCATTTTCAAGGGATTGTTAAAATCCAACAAAAGCAAACGTCCTTGGATCAGTTCTTTACAAAACGCCAGGCAAAAACCACTTCTGAGAGAGAACATGGACTAAAGAGAGCAAAAAACGACAAAGACGCAGTTAAAAGTTAAATAACATAATTTTTATTCTTTAATCTATTCTTTGTTTTTTACATTATGCACAGCTCTCATTTATTGTGCAATGATCTAATTGTAACATTTTATGCTTTAGGAAAAATTTTTGTCTGAATTTGGGGGTGGGGGGGCGTGGAACGAATTAGGGCATTTACATGGAAAACGCGCCTCTACTTACAAAATTTTCTACTTAAGAAATTTCTTTCAGAACCAATTAATTTCTTAAGTAGAGGTACCACCGTAATAGAATTGAGAAGCACATTATTTTGGTATTTCTCTGGGGTTTGTTGGCAGCTACTGCATCAAACATAGAGAACAAGGTGGTCCATTCTACTGATGGCCAAACGAAACCACATTCCTCTGACGTGTTGACGTGGTATCTTTTTCTGGAGAGTACTGTCTCATGAGCCAGGAAGATCCTGAACATCCTGAACCTTGTGGCATTCAGCTAACATGGGCATGCGAGATGACAGATCGGCATACATCGAGTCACCTTGTCTCCCCAGGGATCGGTTATGCAACCCAGGTAGTGATTGCCTACGCTGCCGTGTCGTACATTGTCATCCAGGCCTGGGCTTTCTTCTATCTCTTCTCGTCCTTCAGTGCTGAGGTTCCGTGGGCCAGCTGCAGAAATCTCTGGAACACAGGTAAACCGCACCTGTCCTCACATGCAGGCTATGTGAAGAAATTGTATAGTGCTGCTCATATCAAATACAATCCGTCTCTAATACTTTGTACTTTGGCCAACTAAGTCTATTATATTGTTGCAACATTTATCTGATTCTTTCCTCAGATAATTGTGTTGAATTTGACAAAAAGAATGTGTCATCCAATTGGACAGCAGCTGCGAATGCGACAACTCCTGCAACGGAATTCTGGGAGTAAGTACATTTTGAAATATGTATTAGTAATTCGGGCCACAAAAATGTCATGACCTGAAGCAAAAATTAAGATATTCAAATTTCCCTCGCACAAAACAACACAACACAAATAATGCAAAACAGGAACGGCAAGAGAAGCTCACCCAATGTTGTTTATCATTTTTAAGTGCAGGCTAGGATTCAAGGTGTCTATTTGTCATTCCAATGAAAAGACTTCCTAGCTTGGCATGAAAGTGGTTACTGATGGCCATGTGGCATCCAGCAATGCAAAATAAAATCAGCAAATTCCGAGCAAGAGGAGCGCATAAGTGAATAATGCATATTTTAAAGTCGCCACTAAGTTTAACAAAAAAAAAAGAGTATCGGTAGTCACATTTGGAAGGGTGTTGTACTGTACATTCAGCGATGCAGTTGTGAGCAACGGTATGAGGTATTTGAGTGGTATTTGGTGCAAAATATTACACATGTACTGTGCAAAGGTATGAGGTAACCCATACTGTACAGTAACTATCCAACAGGGTTGTATTTAATGAAAAATACAACTTAGGATCTAAATATGCATGGCCAGAGGCCACAATGTGACGTCTGGACACACATCTGTGTTTAATGTCTTTGGATCCGGATTATCACGTTTCAACATCAATTTTAACTCACTATCTATATCATTTAATTATGATCAAACTTGGCTAGATTTTACAATATTACTTTGTTTTATGGATTGGTACCAAAATGTTATATGACGATCTTTGAAAATCAAACACTGTTTGCAGCCAAAGCTACAACTGAGATATGACCTTTGCGGACGTGTGAGCAGGTATTTGCAATTGCTGCCATTTATAAAGAGGTAAAAGATTTAAATTGGTTGCGGATTTAATGTGACGGTAAAACTAAAGCCTGTTTGTAGAATCCTGCCTTAACGATATCATTGACGATTAACTACAGTATTTATCTTTGGCAACCATGCAAGATAAGATACGCATGGATCCACAATTTTGAAAACAAAAAAATAGCTTTGGCTTTGATTGGTTATTTTAGGTTAACTTGTGTTAAATTTTGTGTTAATTGTTTCTTGAAGCAACTTGACTGCATCACTGATTTAGCCGCAACTATTTTGTGGGAACAAAATGTCATCAGTCGTGACATAGAGCCACGCTATGGCTCCTGCGCTCAACACTATTGTGCTTGAGATAATGCTGGCATAGAAAACAGAAGTGCAGAACATTCAGAAAGGGATTCTAGTATCCCATTAAGAATAACGTTTAAAAAGTTATTCATTATCTAGCAAACAAAAAGTAAAACCCCATTGATAGCGTGAGGACCAGATGAAAGTGGACCAAGAATCGACCCTTGTGGAACTCTGCATGCTGAGAGACTCACTAACTGCTACAATTTAATGCAGAATACTTAATGAATGTCACATTTGCAACATCATGATACTCTATACAGAGATTTATAGTACATCAGGGCAATTCATAAAGTTTCAGTAGTCATTTTTAACGCACTTTATTCAATTAGATTTATTATCAGTTATTGCGGTTTCAGCATCTTTGGGAAAGACTATTTGAAATACAAGTGTTTCTTTGTTTCTGAGTGAAAAACGAGCATCCTCTCATGACTCTAATGCTGCCAAATCCTTTTGTCTGAGAAGCAATCTTACAGTGAGCAAGGCCAAGTGCGGTGTGCCAGTGACTGATTGAGAGATCAGTGTCCATAATGTAGAATCATGAACACAAAGAGAAGCTTATTGTCAAGGGGATTATGGGAACTTTTTTTGGCTGCTTCATTTCAAAAGAATCTCCCTCGTGAATGTAAACTCGCCTCCCACCTGTGCATTCACTGCTGGACAACAAAATACTACACGCTTGTGCAAATAGCTACTCGGGGTCAGGAAAAGTTTTGCAACGTTGTTTGTGTTGGACATTGCAACACACCAAGTCAACTTGTTCTTATGTCAAACATAACAGGACATCTTAATGAAAAGAATTAAATTAGAATCACACATGGGGAAAAAACCTCAAAGATGAATTTTATGAGTTCAATATAAAAAAAATTGCAATATTTTAAGTCGGCCTACTGGTAATATGATTCCAATCAGTTGTTTTTACTTTGGACTGATGATACATTTTTTTTTTTTCAAATTAAATATTCTTTGAATATTTATTTACTTGATGCTTACAACATTTTCTTTACAATACGTTCTATACGCCTCCATTCATCTAAACACAACATTATGATTAATATTGTGTTTGCTGAATACAACTTAAGCAGCAAAATCCAACCGTTTTCCGCCAGCTCATGGGGTGGCCATTTTGTTATCTGAAAATGACATCACAGTTGCTCAGGGTTCAGGTAACGACCAATCACGGCTCACCTGTTTTCTAAAGCTGAGCTATGATTGGTTGTTGATGGTTACTTGCTCAAGACAATACCTTTTATCAGTTTGAACATGGAAAATAGTGTGTAGTGCAGTGTATTCAAATAAATATATGCTGAACATGATTTGCAAAACATTGTACAGTATTCTGTTTTTATTTATGATGAAAAAAACGTCCCGACTTCATTGGAGTTGAGTTTGCACTACCACTAACTTGAATCCTAACTGCACAATAAGAACTGTTCTTGTGCACACACAAAACTGAAAAATTTCTAACAATGAGATTTAATGCTGCAAAAACTCACTAGTGTAAGTGTAGCAAAGCTACATTTCAGAATACTTTTGGGTCTAACTAGCAACAACATTCAGAAATTGTTCATGGGTACACTGACACAAACTACTTTGTTTAGAAGTCCGTTGAGCAGTGGGAAACGAATCATCCATCTTCCTGTCAACACTTCAGTAGCTAGCATACATGTGCTGAGCGGATTGTGAGACAAGGTCAAAAAAAGACATTGGAATGTCAAAAATGTCATTGGGGAGCTTGTGATACAGTTGACATTCACTGAGCGTGACGTTGCCCATCATCATATATGTTATGACTCCGGATCGGCATTTGAGTACATTTCCTCCATTGGCTATGTGGAAAATCAGTTTGGCACAGTGCAAGATCTGCCCGTGCGGATGATGTAGTCGGCCGCACATTTGATGTGAACAGTTAGAGATCGCCTTTCAACCCCGATCGTGCGTGCGTGTGTCCCTGTGTGACATGTCATGAATGATCTTGTCATAACTGTAAATGTGGCATTTCCCACAAATATATATCTCTCCAATAAAAGACTAATCAATAGGGAGCTTGATATATTTTAAAGTAGTTCAGTTGGTTTCAATGCACGTCAGCGTCTTTTAAATCAAATATTTGTTCAGCCGGGCGACGCGCTGGTCGACTAGTTTGCACGTTGGCTTCGCAGTGCAGAGGTGCAGGGTTCGATTCCGGCTCCGAGTTGGCATGTTCTCCCCGTGCCTGGGTGGATTTTCTCCGGGTACTCCAGTTTCCTCCCACATTCCAAAAACATGGATGGCAGGTTAATGGGACACTCTAAATTGTCCCAAGGTTTGAGTGTACGTGTGGATGGTTGTTCGTGTATGTGTGCCCTGCGATTGGCTGGCAACTGGTTCAGGGTATCCACCGCCTACTGCCCGAAGATAGCTGGGATAGGCTGCAGCACCCCCCGCAACCCTTGTGAGGATAAGCGGATTAGAAAACGGATGGATGGATGGATGGATATTTGCTAAGTCTACGGAAAGATCATTTAAAAGAGATGAAGTCATGACACCAAATATTATTTTTTCATGGATCATTAGGAATTTCAAATTTCCTGGCCTGAAGTAAAATTAACAATGAGGTGTTTGGGTTTTTTTTTCACTGTTGTTTACAGGTTGGCTGGAGTGCTCCACTCTCATTTTGTCCTGAACATAGACTTATTTCCCATTCTGAACTGAAAATTACCGAAAATCTTAACTCTTGAGTTAAGTGCAGAACATGACATGTCACATGTTTGACCGTGTCGGCTTGTGATGTTTTTGTTTCAAGGAGACGAGTTCTGGGTATATCCAATGGGATAGAAGAGATTGGCAGCCTGAGGTGGGAGCTAGCCTTGTGTCTCTTGTTGGCTTGGATTCTGTGCTACTTCTGTGTTTGGAAAGGAGTGAGATCCACTGGAAAGGTAACACTCTTTATTTTTGTAAACACATGCACGCATATGAGTTTCAGAAGAAGCCATGTGATTACAGTCAGATCAAGAAGCTGACGAAAAGGTTACAGCAGAGGTAATCCTCCAACATTGGGATGCAATCAACTGTGGCCTAGTTACGCTCTGTTGGGGAAAAAAATGGATTATTACTTTGCGAGTGTTTTCCTTGAGCACAGTTTAGCCCTGATCCTTTTTTTATTAGATACAACTATTCAAACCTATTTTACGAGTATTAACCCTCACGTGTCTCTTGTTGACAGGTAGTTTACTTTACAGCCACTTTCCCTTATGTAATGTTGGTTGTTCTGTTGGCTCGTGGACTCACTTTACCCGGCGCCATGGACGGCATCATTTTCTACCTCTATCCTGACCCGACAAGGTTGGTGGACCCTCAAGTAAGTAATAAAGTGCCAGGCGAAAATAAATAAATACCTAAATCAACCAAGTACCATGATGGGATGCCCAAACAGCTGCATAGGCTAAATCTTGTGTATCATCTTAAATTCACATTTTATTTTTCTTTTTTGTTCATCAATGTAAAGTTCATATTTCATTTTCTGACCTTTGCACCCAGGTTTGGATGGATGCGGGAGCACAAGTCCTCTTCTCTTTTGGGATTTGTCAGGGAAGTTTGACAGCTCTTGGCAGTTACAACGAGTTTAATAATAACTGTTACAAGTGAGTTCTCTTCCCTGTTTGTTTCCTGTCTCGCGCCACCACTTTCTGTCTGTTTAGCCTTTTCTGCTTCAACAATATTTTTATTCATCGCACATAAAGGTCTACGCTCCGAGTTGTTTCCACAAAGAACGGATGTGACTCTTCAAGGTCATTGCTCTCCAAAGTCTAACTGCTCAGGATATTGTTGAAATGGCTTCTTTCTCCCTTCGAAACCCACAATTGAGAAACTTGTTGAGGACGTTTTTGAGTTGATCAACAATTGACTTTTATGCTGTATATGAAATGTATGAAGACGCTTCATCACTCTCAACAAGGAAATGCCATTTTTGCCACCCTTATACTGTTCCCACCCAACTTCACAGAGTGGAGTCTGCTGTCTGGTGGTGACAGATCTGTACTACAACAAACAGCTTCTGATTGAGAAAGAGAGAGAGAAAGAGAGAGAGAGAGAAAACATCAGTAGATAGCTAGCTAGTGAGCTAGCTAGCTAGAGAGATAAAATGATGCACGGTGTGTTGTCAAGTACCTGTAAGTTGGTTGTCTAATAATTATTTCATTTTTTTCCCCTTAGGGACACATTTGTTCTATGTTTGGTGAATGGCGGCTCAAGCTTTGTGGCGGGCTTTGCCATCTTTTCAGTTTTGGGATTCATGTCCTACGAACAAGGATTGCCGATATCCGAAGTGGCCGCTTCTGGTAAGAATCCAAGTATAACTCATGATTATTTCTCACTTATACAGAGCTTGTGCTCGATGATAACAATGCCTAATGTTTCTCAAGTTTTTTAGTCAACACCAGTGCTGACATTTTTAATAATTAACAGACAATGTGTCAAGTTCTTGAAATGGTTCTGTGGTTATTGAGACCTTGCTTGGGTTACACCTGCAAGAGTGATTTTTTTTTCTTTTGTTTGTTTTTAATATTGACTACTATGTGTCTCAATGCAGGACCTGGCCTGGCTTTTATAGCATATCCAAGGGCTGTAGCAATGATGCCTTTACCTCAGTTATGGGCCATATGCTTCTTTATCATGGTCATCCTGCTGGGAGCTGATACACAGGTGTGTTGAAAATGTGCTTCTGGAACTTCTGGTCAGTTTCTGGTTTGTGTTAATGGATCTTTGCTCTGTTAGTTTGTGAGCTTGGAGTGCCTGATGACCTCCGTGACAGATATGTTTCCGACTGTTTTCCGGAGGGCTTATCGCCGAGAACTGCTGCTGCTATGTCTCTGCTCCGTTTGCTTCTTCCTTGGTCTTCTTCTCGTCACTGAGGTGAGAGAATGGATCTTTTCCTTATCGCGTTGTTTTTGTGCTCAGTGTATTTAAGTTATCAAGTGATGGGACTGTGGTCCGCCAATTTGCTTTAATGACCGCAAATGTTTTGTCGTGATCTGTCGACGCTATCTTCTTCCAGGGGGGCCTATATTTCCTTCAGCTTTTCGACCATTATGTCTGTAGTGGCAACAACCTTCTCCTCCTTTCAGTGTGTCAGTCCATCGCAATTGGATGGATATATGGTAAGTCATTGTACATTTTCAAATATCCGTACCTCCTCCTGCCTCGCTACTCTGGCAATATGTGATGATAAAATGAGCCCCTACATGGAGTATCATGTTCACTTACTGTATGTAAACACTTCCGGAAACACCGTGCCACGTGACGTAGCTTTGTTGGTGCACATCACTCAATGTCGCGCTTTGTGCGCATGCATGTCACATCACGGAAGTGTTCCATTCACATTAGAAGCCGCAATTGATATCTCAAACAAAGATAAAAGATATCTCCAATTCAGTTGCACCTCTGTTGCCGATTTGTAGATATCTGGAGCGAGAAATCCCGCACACATGAATGACAAAAGCGGCATTATTTCTCCTAGGTGGAATGATGTTGCAGATACTGGTTGTTCAGTTTGAACTTGGCAAACATGGATTGGAGACATCACTCTTTGTTGAATGGGCCCCAAAATAAAATTAATCAACAATCACACCTGGGTATAGATTCAGAGTGTTCAAATAATTTACCATGCCTGTTTTTGGAACGTGGGAGGAAATCGGAATACCTGGAGAAAACCCACACAGGCAAGGGGAGAACATGCAAACTCCACACAGGAAGGCTAGAGGCTGGATCTGAACACTGGGCCTCTGTACTGTGAGACGGATGTGTTAACCGTGCCGCATGTTACATAAACACTGAATAAAAATGTAAATTATTTTTAAAAAGAATAGTCACAATGTAATTAAAACGAATCAGAAAGACTGTCGATACCTACAACATTAATTCTGCACAGCCAAATTTAGCCATTAAATGTTGACGCGTCTTGCCATAGAGCAAACATTTTTAATCCAGCACATTTATTCCGTACAGTTCAGTTATATGAAGTTTCAGATGGAATACATTTGCATTTAATTTTATGTAGCAGTTTCCCAACATTTATTTAACACTTTTCAAACATTTATTTAGGTCTAACTTCTGTGTGCACATTTTAAGTGAGTCACATTTTAAGTAGTGTTTTATTTTCCGCTGTGTTAAGTGCAGTGTTAATGTTCAAACTGTGCATTATGTTACATTGGCTTACAGTAGTGCTAAATATAAATATATCGCAGAGGAATACAACCTCTGTTACGTTTTTGAGGAGTATTTTGTTTCTCTATATTTATGTTAGTCATAGTGTTGGTGATACTTGAAGAGCTACCTTTTTTCAAAAACTTTTTTCAGGTTATACTTGTAAAGTTTGATAACAATTTGTTTCGGGCAATTAATATACAGGTACCAGGCAAGTTTGCTATGGCTCTCTCATTGGAGATACAGGCAGTATTGGTATGAGCTGTTGCTTTTGGCAATGGCTGTGTGTGCACAAATACAAAGAAAAAAAAAAGAAAAAAAAAGGGCTCATAGCCAATCGGTTCGGATCGGAAAAATACAGGCGCTTGCTTGTGTGAGACTACTGTACTGATAAGCACATCGACGACCAGCCAATCAGAACAACGGGTGGGCGGGCGCAGCTGACAAAAAAATAAATAAATAATCCGATCCGTTAACTTATTAATTAACAGCCAGTATGATAAGCCAAAACCACGTATAGGTGATAGAAACTGAATTGCTGTTTACTTTCGCTTCTTTTCAAGAAAAGCCGATCTCCAATTATTGTGATGAAACGATTACCAGGGCAGCATCCATGCTTCTCTCCTCCAATAACTCTTTTCTATTTAAAGGGACACTATTAAAAATGTGTTGATTTTTTTTTCAATGTTCATTATTTTAAAAACACACTATTAATTTCAGTAATGGGTCAAAAAAAGGTTCTATGAAATCAACGTAAATATTTTGTGTAATTGTAGGTGAAGTAATCACAAATTATATTAAAGCCGCCCCTACGGATACCCCAAGGGAAAAAAAATTGCAAAAGTACTTCATCGACATGATGACCAGACAGAGCATGTGTAAGAAATGCCATCCTCTTCCTCCGTTACTTGAGGGAATACGAGAAGCCGTTTGGATTACATGATGCTGGCACATTTGCTAAAACATGTTTGAGGTAGCCTTGCAAAGTGTGGTCTCACTTGCCACTTCAAAATGCACGTCATTGCATTCGATTGATTCACCGCTAGATGGAGATACATACTACAAGTTGTATCTTTAATAACCACCTACTAATTCTACTTCCGGAATGGACACTGATTGGCCCTGAGTTTGTTGACCTCGTTTGAGGACTTGATTGTTTAGTGTTAGTGCCCGGGGAAGGATGGAAGGCTGGAGGGGCGTTTGCCATTTCACAATCGTACCAATATTTGTTTTCAGATTAAGTTGCTTTTTCAAACCTTTTCCAGAAACCCCTTATGGTTTTGTATACACGTTTGACCTTGGGCAGGGGTGGGGTTGCTGGGGGTTACTGGCGGTTGGCGGTGGTTTGGTGGACAACATTGAAAAGGAGGGACCTTGATTTGCTGTACTTTGAGGGGCCCTGCTGCCCTCTTGTGGAAAACATTGGACAATGCATCTCATCCAAAAGATTTCTGATCTGGAAATGTGATTTTGTTTAAAAAACGTGTCATAAAAAGTAAGGAACAGTTCAAATGTATTTGTTAAGGTACAAAATATGACATTCTATTGAATGTATAATATGAGTAAATGTGAGAAAGTGAAACTTGTTTCTTTTGTACAACCCCCAATATTATAACTTAAATCTATTTAATTAACTTTGTAATCATAATCCTTAAAAACTATTATTAATGGTTGTTAACTCGTGACTGGAAGAGGGCAGCGGCACGGTGGTCGACTGGTGAGCACATCCCCTTCACAGTGCAGGGTTTGATTCCAGAGTGTGGAGTTTGCATGTTCTCCTTGTGCCTGGGGTGGGTTTTCTCCGGGTAGTCGGGTTCCTCCCACATTCCACAAACATGCATGGCAGGTTAATGGAACACCCTAAATTGTCCCTAAGTGTGATTGTCAGCACGAAGGGTTGTTTGTTTATGTGTGCCCTGCAATCGGATGGCAACCTGTTCATCCTGCCCGGAGACAGCTGGGAATGGCCACAGCACACCCACAACCATTGTGAGAACAAGCGGATTAGAAAATGGATGGATGGATAGAAGAGGGCATTAAGACCCTTGACAGTGCATACATTCCTTGAATGTATCTTGGTCTAGACAACTTGGTGTGGACCGCTATCCAAGTATCACAGTCCCGCGGGTCTTATGCACTTCATCTGCCAAATATTTTGTCCTCTTTCTTTCTTCCCATCACGCCCGGTTAAGCTCATCCAAGCATGAGGGGGCATTAGATTCCAAGGAGGCTTTTGCGCTCTTTATTTGACATTCATGGAGACTTTGTTCTATCCTGTTGTAACAGGGATTTGTTAAAAACTCAGAGGGGCTGACGGCACGGACCTGAAATATATTTTGTTAGATGCACAAATACACTCATCAGCTGTTTAGATGAGTACACATCATGAGAACCAATGCTTGAGCTCTATCAAAATTTTGCTTTTACCCTAATAACAAAGTTTATTTTTGAGTGATCCGATGTGGAGTCTTTATTTTCCTGCGTAGTGCTTCTATAAAGAAAATCGTAATACAGTAATAAAAATGAACATGCAAACTATTTTTTCTTACTGCTACCAAATTTCATGTCAAAACAGACTTCTCATTTTGTGTTTGATAAACAGGTGCAGATCGTCTCTATGACAACATTGAAGAAATGATAGGCTATCGTCCGTGGCCACTAATGAAGATTTGCTGGCTTTACGTTACCCCTGCTGTTTGTATGGTGAGTGAAATTATGTGGGCGGTGCGAGTCATTTCTGTGACAGCGACAATGAATTCATGTATGGAAAATGCCTTGGCGACACGCTCACCCATCCAATTCATGTAATACAGGTGTCTGGAGTTTTCTCACAAAGCTTCATCTTGTTGTTGTTCTTCTCTCAAGCTTGAAATGACATGCTTGAAATGACATGAGAAAAGGAACAAGGAAGAGGTGCATGAGAAGAAAGTTCAGGATTTAAACTTTGTGACGTGAGGAATTTGAGAAAGGTGCTGGTGTCAGTGCCAGGTGGGTTAGGATGAAGGGAACAAAGAGAACACTGAGAAACATATTCGTACTGTCTGCTGTAAGTGGGTAAGACTCATGTGACTTTCACTGTACACTATTTGTGGTACGTTGTGGTAATTGTTGAAAATTCAGACATTCAGTGAATGCTAACCAACAAAGAATTGCCTTTAACGTGATGCCCCGCATGAGAGTGTGTGGTGTTGGATTGAAAACCTTTAATCCCAGAAAGTTCTATTTCTAAAGATGCATGTACAGCGGGTCCTCGATTTACGACAGATTTCTGTTCCTAGGCAGCGACATCACTTGAATTTCAACGTTAGAATGCGTATTCTGTCAATCAATTTGGCGCCGTAGGCTCAGTTTATATGCCCCTCCCCCCCGACCCACCTCATACACAACTCATCGATGATTTGCATATGCTTACAGAAGTTGAATTTTTAACATTGTCTTTAATTCATAAGACAACATAACACAATTTAAACTACAAATCGGAACATTTTCCAATTCCACGACTGTTTTGTTACTGTCAAAACAAGTCATGCAAGTGGCTTGCTGTTGCGACATTTAAATTTATAGGACAAATGAAAATAATTTTAATGTGTCAGTCAATATCCATCCTTTTTTTTTTTTTTTTTTTTAATGTGACTCCAACAGACTGTTTTTTTTTTTCGGTGTATCATCATTTATCATACTGTATATTAATTGGTGTTTCATATTCAGGGCTCATTGGGAAGTTTTTGTTGATATGCGCTGCTTCCGCACTTGCAAAAGATTCATTCATCCACAAAAGATTTTATCGAGGTTTTATTAAAATGATCAGCAACATTTTTTTTTGTTGTTTTAAGATTGAGTAGTTTCATTCCTTACAGTCGTCCCTGGCAATGAATTGCTTCTGAATTCGACTTAGGATTTTGAGAAAAATACAGAGAAAAGAAGAGAAAATCTTCTTTTAAGTTGTCACAAATAGACAATTTTGACAGCATTAGATTTACTCATGTTTCACTTTTTTCTGCAACAAAAGAGGCTGTCACTGTTGTTTCAACATTTTAGTTGGACATGCATGAAATGCTGAACGTATTTGCATGGTCTTAAGTATTGCCCTTTAGTATGAATTATTATTATTATTATTATTTGATTTTAAAAATTGGATTATTTCCAATCTGGTTACTCAACCATGGCATCTGTTTTTTTTTCCATTTACCTTTTTAAGTACAACGACCACCATTATAAATTGAGAAATATGCAACAACTACGATGGTAACCAAGAGTTAATTCCACGCAGGCGACACACAGTGATGCGTTAGCTGCCACTGTGCCGGGACAGGATTTGAGAAATTGATTCCCCCTATTTCTCTTCTTTAATTGTTTATATTGATTTCAATTTATTCCTTTCCTTTCCACTTGAAAATTCTGCGTTGTTCGTACAGTAATAAATCATTTGAATGCAATGCTTTTGAAAGGTCAATTTTTTGGCCGATTTTTGGTGCCCCTCATAATCACCTGCAGCTACAGCCTTATCCCACTGGGGGGCGAACAATTGCGACTGTTGGCCTCGGCTCGTAAAATGCGCTTTGACGTCACGTTGTCACGGCAGTTCAGGGTGTGTCTTGCCCACCGCCCAAATACAGCGAGGATCTGCTCCTCGTGAGGATAAGCGCTTTGGAAATAGATGGAAAGACAACAAGTGTTTTGTTTTAGGGTTTTTTTGGGGGGGGGGGGTGTAAACTCCCTTTCTGTTATGATTTGGTGTTTACCACAAGTATTCCAGCGCATGCCTCCACCTTTGTAAAAGTTCCACCACCTACTCTACTCCATGGATTACGGTGGCATCATGTTCCATGGGGACTCCAGATTACATTTTTGCCGATATAGAGTTTCAGTCATCCAGGTCATAGCGGTCCATTCAGGTGTAATCGAGGCAACTAAATTCTTCTTGTTTGTTCGTTTGTTTGTTTGTTTTTGTGCATTAAGCAATTAAGCCTATGCAGCGGCTCCAAAACAGGCAGTTCCCTAAGGCCCCGAGCTGGGTCGTTGGGCTGACTGGTGTCTGACAATGGCTCTTAAAAGCCAGTGAAGCTACATAAAATTCCGTATTCACATGTTGTTACATGCTTTTTTGAGATTTCCCAAACATGCCCACGGCACATAACAGCCGATAAAAAAACCCCCATTGAAGAGCAGTTGCCTGTTAAGATGGTTTGGCAAAAGCTGATCAAAGCTGAAGCAAACCCGGCTGCAAAATGCCCCACCCAAAAAGTGTGCACGCGTTTTTCCAAACGAGCCATGTAAGTTGAATAAAGGTGTTCGATGCATATTGATAGACAATCTGTGACAAATTAAAAGGTAATGTAAATGTTGTGACATAATGTGGTGCTACAGAAAATATTGCAAAAAGGTCAGCTTCCAAGGGTCAGCTCTTTCAAATCAAAAATTATTCAAATTTTGATTTTCTATGGAGCTCCCTTGCTTCGAGGCATCGCATGACGGTATTGTCGTAAAACCAAGAACCTCGTGTATTTATAATAATAAGACTAATATTGCTTGTCAGTACAGTATAATATTCTTTCTTTTAATTTATCTCAGCATCTCCATTATTCTGACTGGCTTCGGGCAATCACATGGTTCTACTACCTGTTTGTGTGGCGGCTCAGTTTGAAATTTAAGTGACAAATATGGTTTTTTTACCTGATGAAAGGCTGTGGCAAAAATACATTTTATCTCTTAAGACATGATAAAGACATGAAAAGAATATCAATAGTTGTCTTTGTTCAGGCCAGTATACATGTTGAAAGGGAGTCGGAAGAAATAAAACCAATGACCATTTTCTGGAAGAAATAAAACCAATGTCCTTTTATCTAATCCGCTTATCCTCATGTGCGGTGCTGAAGCCTATCCTAGCTGTCTTTGGGTATACCCTGAACTGGTTGGCAGCCAATCGCAGGGCACACATAGACAAACAACCATTCATGCTCACAATCACACCTAGGGAACATTTTGAGTGTCCCATTAACCTGCCACGCGTGTTTTTGGAATGTGGGAGGGAACCGGAATATCCGGAGAAAACCCACGCAGGCACGTGGAGAACATGCAAATTCTACACAGGAAGGCCGGAGCCGGGATCAAACCCACAACCTCTGCACTGTGAGGTCGACGCGCTAACCAGTCGAGCACCGGGTCACCCTCATATACGATAATGAAACCCAAAAGAAAATATATCTGCAGATAATCTTATGAATGAGCTCACTTTGTAGAACTGTGTACACACACGTGCATTTTGAATGTACACAACTAGTCGTAAACATAATACATGCATATACGATGAACCCTCAAACTGCTGGGGTAAAAGTAAGCTAAATTGGGTGAACTAGCTCACCCAACGCTGGGTACAAAAAGGGATTAAGCCAACGCATCGGCGTAGATAACACTGCAGTTGCTCAAGAGTTTACTCCAAGGGGTAAACACTCCCCAATAGTGATGAATTAACGTTTGAAAGAATGGGTTATGAGCTTATTAGTATAGCTGTAGTTAATAATAATAAAATAATACAAATTTTGTAAACAACATTTTCGAAGAAAAAGAAAAAAGAAGCACCTTTTCCTTGGGTCACCATAGCAAGTCACTCGCATGTCATGTTTGGTACAGATTTTACACCGGATGAACTTCCATCCATTTTTCCATCCATCATATACAGTATGCTGTCCGTCCAGCGCATGAAAAGCCTTGGTGGTAAAGTTATATTTTTCCAATATTTTAATAAAGGTTTGACTCTGTACGGGGTCATCAAACGACATGATAAATCCACAGGGTCCACGGACTGATTTGCTAGCTTTCTGTTTGCAGATATTGATCGTACTGATCTATTGGGAGCCGCACACACCTCTCACTGCATTGTCTCTATTGTGACTGCACAAACAAGTTGCCAGGGAGTTGTAGATGATTCCAATCATAATCAGCCGGCAAGTTCTACTACAGCTAATCATTGGAATTTTGCTTCTCTGGTAACCTGTGGAGAAAGGAAGAAAAAAAACCTGATTGCAATTTTGGAACCAGCATGCCAATTTTATTTTTAATCAGCATACAAATCTGACACAACAGATTTATTGTTTTCAAATTGCTCCCCAGTGTAATTTGTTCGTGCTAAACAAATTTTTTAAGGTATTTAATTAATTTTCTACAGTAGTAAGAAGCTCTTTGAGATTTTCTCTAGAGCAGTATGGAGTTGTGTCATCAACCCCCACCCCCCCCCCCAAAAAAAAACCCTCACTTTATATATATAAATAAAATACAGTCTGAATACCGGTAGTTTAGGGCCGAGCAGTGGGATTGTGTGCGGTATTTCAAATTCTGTTCATCGTCCTTTATTGTGGTATGCCAAACATGCCTAATTAAAATGATGTTTTTAAAAATGCACTTCAGTGGTTGCAAAATCCAGAAATTTTGAATTTTTTCATGCGAATTCTATCGTTTCTCTCGAAACGGAACCAAGAAAAAAAAAATTGCTGCGTAATCATGACTCCTGACGTATAGCCTATTCTCCAGATTTGATATATCGCCACGTTTCCTTTGCTCTATTATCATCCCAAAAGTTTCTCGGGGGAAGTTTCAAGAAATTTACAGGACCGTTTCCAGCCCTTCTCGTGAGATCCCACTAACCCTGTCTGTCGTGATGCTGAAAGCACGCTGAATGTCTTAAGGTTTTTATCTGTGTTTTTTTTTTGTTACTTGCTAGGGTACCTTCGTCTTCTCCTTGGTGAGGTACAAGCCTCTCAAATTCAACAAAACCTACGTCTATCCAACCTGGGCCTACGCTCTGGGATGGTGCCTGGGACTGTTCTGTGTTCTGCTGGTGCCTCTGTGGATCCTCTTTAAAGTGACTCAGATGAAAGGCACAGTGTGGCAGGTTTGTCTTTTTGGTAACTGAAATTTAATTTGAATGTGGTGAATTCAGTTTGAAATTCTTTGTTCCTGTTCAAAACTGTAAAATGTTGAAAGTTCACCAAAGAATAACGACGAGGAGGTCTGAAACAAATATCGGACTTACTGTCTAACTGTTCAGCACTGTACCACCCCTTATCGTTATTAAACAGATCGACGGGGAGTATTATACAGGGGGCTTCATAAAAAAAAACAAAAAAAAAAAAAAAAAAAAACATTCTTCACATTTTCTTGACATTTACTAGTTCCGAGGCAGTACCTCAGGGTTGTAAAAAATATATAAATTCAATGACTTACAGCTTATTTTATACACAACGTAACTCAATATGATTCATTTACAGTACCGGTAATTAAAAATACATTTCAAAGCAGAGAGACATAAATACATTTCATGTCAATGTAAAGAAAAAAAATAGCTCATTAAAACTACGAAATGTACATACAGTGCAAGAACGGGATTTTTGACAAACAGGATTTTAAGACCATGAGCCCTTAATCATTGGTATGGGGAAAAAAAGCAGCGTTTTCAACCTGTATTTTAAAATGTTTCAACTTCATTGGTGTGTTTTGAATCTTTATTCCTTCATATTATTAATTCTGATGAGGCTACCAGCAAATCGGGACACCGTACTATACACAAGTATGGGGGAGTAAGAATGGTTTTTAAGAGTGATTTTGTAGGGGCGTATTCTTTCACGCTAAGCAAAATTTCATAACTTGACTAGCATGCTTCCTTAGTCATAACATACAACCGACTGTTGGCAGGCCTGCCACTGCCGATGTTCGCCCGGGATGAGCAGCACGCGGCGGTTGCCTCGGCAACAGGCAGGCTAGCCAAAAATGACCCCCACACTCCCCTGGTTTGGCACTATCTCCATTGGTGACACAGGAATGATTAAAGCTCCACCAGGCCTTTTGTGGCCCAGCTTGACGACTCAACCAAAGAACCTACACTGCTCTAGTCCCACTGCTGCACAGTGCCAGGAACAAAACAAAGCACCAAAACGCAAATGGCTTTCTAGAAAAATAGCCCACCCTCAGTTCTATTGCGTTAGTTCAACCTCATGCACTTGATTATTTTTGATGTCCCTCACTCGCACTCATTCCTAGCATCGGGAAACTTTTTGAAAAGTTCTGCCAGTGATGGAACAAAAACATGACCTTTTAAAAAAAAAAAAAAATGTGTATATATATATATATATATATATATATATATATATATAT